TGCACCTACACCCCCGCCGAGGATCCAGAGGGCCTTGATGGGCTGTCGTATGAAATAGGATCTGGAAACTCTCCTTGGATAAATAGGATCTGGGAACTCTCCCCCCCCTCCCCCCGTGAGCCGAATACTCGTGAATATCCTACGAAGTATACGCAAGATATGTGGGGAAAATTGATCAGCAGATACCACGTTTCAAATCGCAGGTAAATCCTCATCTGCCAATAAGAAGGAAATCACATGCCAACGACAGTCGCCGACATTGGATAAAGGGCGCATGTCATAGTTTCCATTGCAAACATAACCATTACCATCCTTCAGCAGCTCAACAGCTATTTACGCATACAGATATTTACAGATACATATATTTACAGGTATACATATATTTACCTGAAGACTGCCAAGCTTTACCTCCCGCATCCACCGACGCGACAGCTCAGTGTTGGCATGTTATGTTACCGCAAACACGTGACGCATCCCTCAGCCCCGAACGTTCCGAGCCGTGCACCAGGCGGCGGCCAGTTCTCTTCTAGGAACCGTAAGTTTGCTTTTTTGGCCAGGCGCCAGTTCGCATGCCGTAATCTTGTTGTCAGCATTGATAGCTTCATATCCCTGGTAGTGCACAGCGCGAGCGCGTACCTGCGCCTGTATCATTCGAGGCTGCTAAATTGCATCATTTTTATTCTCCTGTTGTATATACTGCGTAGAATGAACCATTTCTTTCACCTGACTGGATTTTTCGCCCAATCCTGCTATATCAGTTAAAATCCCATTGTAAAGGTGGACTTGGTGATGGTGGTGGAAAGGTGGTGACTTGGTGGAAAGGTGGAATCCCCTTTAAGTGAGCCACATTTACGACTGTACACACAAGGTAGGTGTGTTGCGACTACCCGTAACTGTACGGGCATAGTGTTTGTAAGGTGCCGTTGCAACTACGCGGCGACCTCAGCGTATGATGTGGCTGCAGCCGACGTTGTAGGCCCTGGCCTTGTTGTTAAAGAGAGCGTTCCACATTTATATGGGATTTTGAGCTGAAGAAGCCATTTTGAAAATCATTCGGTGAAGTTCACAGTCCTGCAGACCTGAAGACTTAAAACCCTCTGGTTTCTGAACTACCCGCCTGCAAAGATATGCATGCTATTTCGTGCAGACTATTTCAAGGTCAGTCAGTCACGCATAACGTCACAGCGACGTAATTCAAATCTTGCCATCCCACACGCCTGACATGCAAGGCATGCATGCAACAGTTGGAAACTGCAGCTTGCGTGAACCACCGCCCCGGTTGTGCGCGTGTTTTGACGCGGTGGACCGTGCGCAGATAAATGCAAAAGTTTCGGCTACGATTACGTCGTGGTTCTGACCGCAGTGGATTGACCTGAAGTGTTAGTGGGCTGTCGCTGGGATTGTGCGGAGGTAATGTCCTCGTAGAATGCACATGATGTTTGACAGGCACCGCCTTATAAGTTACCCTGCCTAAAAATTTTCATACTTTTTGCTAAGCAGGCACCCATTACAAACCGCCATTTAAGCCAGCCGGCTCATGTTTTTACCACTTGAAGCCGAATCCGAGACAAGTGGCTTCAGACTTCGTGCAGCGTTGTTCGGTGAAGCTAAAACTGGTTTTACATCCGCTGCAGTTCTATGGGGTCAAAAAATGTCATAGGGTTTTTGCGAAGTCGTTAGGAGGTTGTGTTATCATTACGGATGAAAAAAAAATGTTAGGACTGTCGCCCTCGTCTTGTGTGTTAGTATGGAAACAACGTTTCGGACAGTTAGTCCCCTGACCGTGGTCAGGTCTCAATTGGTCCTGATAATGACCAAGTTTTTCAGCTATGCACGTGTCGTAGCCATGAAAAGCTGTGTGTGGGGTCGACTGAGATGACATGACGAGCGCGCACGTTTTTGTAAACTGAAGCTGCAACAAGCCGAATAAAATAGTTCGTGGGCGTCGTGGCCGAGGATAAGTGCGTCGGACTCCCACGTTGGCCAGGGCTCGAATCCCGTTTGCGCCGTGGCCTCCGAGCACTAAAACAGCTGTTGTGCTCGCAGGCGCTCCATAAATAAGGCGTGATGGGGCGCGTCAAATTCGTTTGTTAAAATATGAGAAGAGAGGGCATCCGCTCAGGATTCCTTGGAACCGAAGCCAGATCGTTAATTGAGGCATTTTTCAAAGTCAAGGCTGAACCCAGCCGTAAAATATGGCACAAATCCGAAGTCAAACCCGCAGCCGTTGGAGGAAACCTGTGTCTTGCTGAAACCGGAACCGAAGCCGGCTCAGTTCCATGTCTGCCCCAAGCGGTAAAAGCAAACGCCTCCTGACATGCAGTATCGCATGTGAATGTTGATCGTCGTCCAAAGCGTGTAAATAATTCAGTAATTTCGGGTTGTTTTCGATTCAGTTCGATTTTATTTTGTCTACCACCGCTCGAAAATCACCTGGTTGCAAGGAAAATTTGGAAACATTTTAAGGTGGAAAGGAAACCTCTGTCCACGCAAAAGCTCAGGTAATCCGTCATAACACAGCTGCGACAAATGATACAGAAATTGGGATTGGTAACAAACCTGGCGTGGGGCAAGTGCTGGCTCCAATGTTTTCCTGTCACGATTTGGAAGATTTCAAAGCAAGGAAGGGTTCCATCCAATTTTGGTGAAGCCCGAATGCCAGTGTTGCACGGAACGGGGCCTTTATCCAACGGGATGCGCGTGCACCCATTGGTGCATCCCAGAACCCGGGGGTGCGCAGGTACCCAGTGGTGCACACCAGATTTCAAGGGATTTACGAGTACCCAGTGGATGTCCGATGGAGTGGAAATCCAAAGCAGGAATGTAATTCACCAGGGATGTCTTTTTCTGTGAGGTCTGGCCCACTGAATGTTGATCTGGTACCCCCGAATGTCTGTTCTGGCCACCAATACTTTTTACTGGGAATTACACAAATGAGATAAGGTTTAATATTTCACAAATACTACTTTCTTTGGACAAGATTTGATGGTAATAACCATTTGGCGTTGAATTAGTAACTATGCCATAGATGATTCCCAAATGCATCTATAACCGCAATTCTTCAAAACAACGCGCACTAAAACCGTAAGAAATTTACTTTTTGAAGGAGGTTGGGACCTTGGGGTCCTCACTACCCTCCCATTCATACGCACAAATCGACCCCCCTGAATTACCCCAACCGCCGTCGGATGCTGCGGTGTTCCAGAAGAAGGTGGAGTGAAAGGCCTGTTACCGTCAACCTCCCGAGTTCCCTGATTCCTTCGCGCGGCATGCTCGCACGCCCTGGGGAGCGCCGGGCAGGAGCAGGTCGGCAAGAGGTGTCACTCGCTCCATCCGCCGCAGGGAGCCCGCAGTGTGAAGGGCCGGCTTTGAGACCCGCTCACTAGCGGCACGGGAGTGACTTCAGAACCCTCTCCTCCAGGTTACCAGGGGGACGGGGAGGGGCGCCGGATCATCTCACATCATTCTTGTTCTTTGCACCTCTGCTGAGAGGGCTCGCTGCCAGACCGATCGGTGGAGGGATGATCTCATCAGAAGAGCTTGGCCTGTTCTGCGCTGAGCATGGGTGGTCTGCCCTCTTTCGAGAGGTCGCCGTGTCCGGGTGTGCGACGTGACAGTCGCGCACGGGCGGCGGCCACCCCAATGTTCCGGCGTCAAATGGTCATCTGATCACTAGCGAGGGGAAATGGGCTCTGCGCTTTGGTCGCAGACCTCAGCTGCACGGTTCACGATACGGTCGACGGCCCCATTGCCCTCCAGTACTGCGTGGTCCGGTGCCCACTGAAGTGTGATGCGTTTCCTCTGGTACACGGTGGCGTCGAGCGGTGTGCTCAGACCTCCCGAGCGGGACACATCTGCTGTTAGCCAGCTCTCCTCTGCCCTCCTCCGTTGTTAGCCTTCCTCTGCCCTGCTCTGCCCTCCCCCAGCCCTCCTCTGCCCTCCTGCTGTTGGCCCTCCTCTGCCCTCCTTTGCCCTCCTTCAGTCCTCCTTTGCTGTCAGCCAGCGCCGCGGTTCAGCGACTGGAGCTCGGCGTGGGCGTCAGTGCACATCCGCACGCTGCCGACCAGGCAAAGATCACGCGGCGTCGCGCCGAACAATCGGATCCGGAGGTGTGAGTCGAAACTTTTATTGCCACAGCAGTCGCCGACTCTCGGTGCGGAGGTGAGCCGGGAAAATTGAGTACCCCACGCGGAGTGCTGCCACGTGTCCTCGCCTGGCCAATAAAAATGCACTCATCTGCAGTTCACTGAATGGAAAATCAGGCGATACCGATTTTTGACCCTTTTCTTCCCTGTGCATCCAGAGGCGCGCACCAGGAAGAAGCACACCGAACGCTGCCCCTTCCCCCACTCTCCCCTCGCCAGTTCTCAGCGAATACGGGGTATCTGCAACACAAGACATGACATGAGAGCGCCAGAACAGCGTTTTATCTCACGTATCGCTCAGTACAGTGCACTTAAGGTGTAAGGAAGCCCCAAGGAGCGACTAGAAGGACATTGCTCTGGCAGTGACACAAGGACCTCTGGTTGCTGTGCCCGGAGTGATTCCCACAGATAGGTGTCTGAATGGTCGGCAACTATACACGCGGTCGGCAACATTGAACACGATAACGTGGGCTCACATTTTGATTTAGAGTTGATTGAGGTGGCAATGGCTACGCAGTCAAAGTCTCAGCTTCACGATAACGCTCACATAGCGCTTGAAAAACTGCGGTGGGGTTGGTTACATAATCACAATTACATAATGGCCAAAACTTCACAACGAAGCGGGCAGAGACATGCCGGGTTTGGGTACACAGCATATACATATTCCTACACGATCTGTCACTGAATGCAGTGAGTGAAAATGATGATCCCTTCACTCCGGTTCAGCGTCTTCCCAAAAATGTCATATCACCGCAGCTTTCGTTGTGCAAGTCTGCAGCAGTGTGATCCACCGACGAGGTGGCTGATTGAGCGTGGCTACCCGGCTCGGTGGACCTGACGCGACGACCGTTTCAGAACGGCTACCCGGCGCGGCGCCGCTCCCTGGTCGATGACGCCAAGTTCGAGACCAGCATCAACAAGGAGACCCGGCAGGAATGGCTCAGCCACATCCGTCAGAGCGAGAACGGTACGTGCCGGCCGTCCCGACGGCCGCCGGCGCCCATTGTGCCGACGCGGACTTTCATCGCAACATTTCTCCGGCTGCTTCCGCTCGGCTGCACCAGAAGAGAGGCGGCTCCTGTCCGGCGACTTGGTCCGGTGACGTTTTTCACGCAGGCGGCGGCAGTAATTGGCATTGATCTGCGCAGGGCGCCGCCCCGAGTGCCATTGACTGATGACGTCACCGCCGCGCTGAGAGCCGATGTGCTCCAATCCATTACTCTTGATTTGAGTCGTCCAAACGCTCGGGCCGCTTCCGCGGGTTCGTCCTGATTTCTGTCGAGAGGCTGTGAAAACGGAAATAATGCGATGCGTGCGTGCAGCTCTTAACCACAGGAGTGGTAACGATTTCAGCAACAGTGTGTGCGAAGCAGTTTTGGCAGCATGAGTTGACACCGCGCCTGATCCATATGATTAAGCATCTGTAACATATATGATAAAAAGTGGCGCAGGGGGAATAGTGCGGAATGAGTAAATGCATGCATATACATATAGGAAGTGAGAGAGACCCTGCTTGCATATGCAAAAAATAGAAGAAATTGACACAAATGTTTCCAAGCGAACCTTTCTGGTTTTAGTTGTGGCGAAGGAGCAGAAAACATTCGCTGACAGACACCCGGCGTCTTGCAGCTGTAACTCGGTGTGCAGACATCTCAAGTGCGGCACTGCTTTGTGACGCCAAAATCGTGCTATTATGTGCTCCGGGAAACGACGCCAGATGAAATGTTTTCACATTGCCAAGGTTGAAAAACATGAGGTGGAGACGGACTCGCCCAATAGTAACGGAACGAGTGATAGCACGCCCCGGTGGCAGCACCAGCAGCCGGCGCCCCCCCCCCCCTTCTCTAAAGATGCGGCGCAGGCGACGCGGAGCGCAGGCGGCATTGTCCCAGCTCGTCCATCACCGGACCACTATCAGGCGGAGCGGGCCGGCCGGACAGCTCGGCAGGGTGGGCCGCACAGCTCGGCAGGGTGGGCCGGACAGCTCGGCAGGGTGGGCCGCACAGCTTGACAGGGTGGGCCGCACAGCTCGGCAGGGCGGGTCGGACAGCTCGGCAGGGCGGGTCGGACAGCTCGGCAGGGCGGGCCGCACAGCTCGGCAGGGCCGGCCGCACAGCTCGGCAGGGCGGGCCGCACAGCTCGGCAGGGCCGGCCGCACAGCTCGGCAGGGTGGGCCGCACAGCTTGACAGGGCGGGTCGGACAGCTCGGCAGGGCGGGTCGGACAGCTCGGCAGGGCGGGCCGCACAGCTCGGCAGGGCGGGCCGCACAGCTCGGCAGGGCCGGCCGCACAGCTCGGCAGGGTGGGCCGAGCAGCAACCATTGTGCTGGTGCCCTGGGGTGCAGCAACGAAGCTCTGTAAATCAGGCGGCGGACTGCTGACCGGAAATGGTCACGCTGTGCCTACATGCCAAACCTTTGAAGATCCGCACTGGCAAAGTTGTACGGTTACTTGCAGGGCGAATGTGTATCAATGTGGTGCACATTTGACGTTGGAACTTTTAGCTGTAGGAATGCGTGAGAACATTTCACAGGGCGTAAGCGGGAGAGGAGTACGCCGAACAGTTGCTCAGTCAATTTCCACATACATTTCAGTGGGATTGGATGCTGAACACCCAATAGAGCGGGTTTGCTATCCGCCCCGACCTGACCTATCTTCCACGTACACGATTGGGTCGGAACAAACACGGACAATTAGAACGAAAGACCGTCCGAAGTAATTGAAACACCGCGAGATTGCATCGTCCGCAGTGCTGACAGCGGATGCAGGGAGGATACGCCAAAGACGTTATCGGCGTGTAATCCGGGCGTTGACGTAAAGACGTTCCTTCCTTAGCCGTCGTAGGCACCCTACAACAACGAAGCCGGTAAAACCACCGGAACTCCGTCCGAGCGTGGGCGCGTTGTCAGCATAGGGCCAATGGATATGTCACTTGCGTCTGCTACGTTATGATAATTTGATATGCCATCGCATACTGTTGGCGGTCGCCTCCGCACACGCCGTGCAGTCCTAACCGGCAGGCGTGTCAGCTGGGCGCAAGTACTTTTCTTAACAGGCAGCACTCCGCTCCTTGACACTATTTAACGTTGCCCTGGACCCTGCAGCGCGTTTGTTTCTCGAGGACACGTTTCATGCGCCAAATTACGCTAAGGGAAGACGGCAGCGATGATTGACACCAATCCCGGGCATCGTGTTAGCATGCCGGGCTACACACACGCCGTCTTTGGATCGAATGGTGATGAAATTAATGAGTCGTGCCAGTCGTTATGTCAGCGGTATTGCCCCAACGAAATGTTCGCAGGCCCTATTCGAGCAAGGTGATATTCCATCCATCAGCATTGCCTGGAGTTGAGTCCAGTAGCTACCTCCCGCCCACCCCACTCCCACGCCCACTCTCAACCGACTCTAGGCCGGCGGGATTTATGTTAGCATAAATAATTACCGACGAGCGGAAACCGCGTGCACACGATAGACGTGGATATTGATGTTGAGTCTTTGACTGGCCCTGTTACTCGATTGGCGGATAGGCGCATGTGGTTACTGTTCATATTAACTTACAAAAGCATACCTTGATGGCGTGACAAAAGTGCATTGGTAGCTTGCTGGTGCAAATGGCCATGCATCATGCTTCCTCTCAAGTTGGATACGATTTGCCACAAAAAGTTGCACCGGTCTTCCGCCATACCGCATATTTCGCGCCATATTTCCTCCCGCGCTACCGCCGTTTGACTCAGCGTCTCGCATTTGATAAAGTGGCGCGACTTTGCCTGCCGATCTGTCGGGATCCTCAAAACAGCGTCCAGCTGATCGGTGCTGGCGATCTGTGGCGCGGCAGATGAAGACCTCTCGGAGGAGGAGGTGCTGCTGGCCGCCTCGTCACCCACCGACGAGTCGGCGGCCGGACCCCTCAACATCGTGCTCGTGCTCTCCATCAAGTCGGGCATGAATAGTCTCGGCCGCATCATCAAGACCATAGAGGTGGGTGGTCATCACGTCTGTCACCGAAAAATGTCCCAGTAATGAAACTTGACCGGACGATGTAACACGTGTGTCGAACGAAACGAAGAAAATGTTAAGTCGCGCACCGAGCCCGAGCTTTATGAAGACTGTAACCAGACGCTCTATTCGAATTTCATCTAGACTTCAAGACGAACTCATTTTTATTTCAAGTGTCACATATCAAAAGTGTCATGTGACATGTCTTGTAACACAATGTTCATATGTCCCACGCCACATAACGTTGTATATGATACACGTATGTCCCATGTCGTATCATATTGTGATGTTCGAGCATCGACCCAGCCTGGGGCACCCATGTGGAGCCACGCTCGTCACACCTGCCTCGCCCCGGCACGTGCCGCAGAGTCACCACGGCTCGCTGCAGCACATCGAGTCGCGCGCGTCGCGCCGAGCGGACGCCTCGCACCAGGTGCTGCTGCGCATCACCCTACTGGCCGAGAACCTACGCCAGCTGACGCGCTCGCTGCGCCAGAGCGCCGCAGTCACCGCCTGCGACATCCTCAACGAGGCCACCGCCAGCATCAAAGGCACGGGCGGCCGGCCGTGGCGCGGGCCCAGCCACTGGTACACGCTGACCGCGCAATCGATGTATTACCACAGCCTACAAGATGTAACACAATCGTTTTTTTGTATTATAAGTTTTACGGACGTTTTGATATGATATTTGGTGCTGTTGACCATGTGCTTGACAACTTGTGACACGGAACAAAAACACCAACGTTTGGAAACAGGATTCCTCAAAGTATATCAGGGGCATGCATCTTAACATCATTCGAAAGTGTTCATTACTCACGGCCTAAGATGGTCCTTACACTCATTCTTACACGAACGGTTAGTGGGCATACGTGGGCATACTCGCATTGCTGTAAATGTCTGCACGTTGTTCGCATGTGTTTACGAGGATGACAAAAAGGTGAAAGGATACAGCACAAACAATGCGGGGCAGAAACCACCCAGCGCAGTGTCGTTGGGAGTCGACACTCTGATTTGGCGTCGGCGCCGGTCCGACAGTGAGCCCATGGCGCGAGACGGCCTCGCCCCGCTGACGTGGCTGCCGGCGCCGGCAGAGCCTTGGTACCCGCGCCACATCAGCGAGCTGGACCAGTGCAACCACCTGATGACCAAGTACGAGCCGGACCTGGACATGGACCACCCGGGCTTCGCCGACGCCGAGTACCGCAAGCGCCGTCACGCCATTGCCAGCATCGCCTTCAGCTACAGACAGTGAGCGCTCGGCACCCCCGCTCTCGCCGGCAACCGCTCACTGGTAACTGTGCAGTCGCGCGTAGGCCGACATGGTGTCTCCGTTTCTGGCTCTGACAGCTGGACTTTTAAGAGACTTACCCCGGCACGCTTCGGTAGCTTCTTCACACAAACGGTATGGCTTTGTCCCAGCTCCGAGTTGGCACACTGTCCCGTACGGGTTGGTGTGTAGCTAAACAGCTCCGATGTTTTACAAGAACGGACTAACACTGCCCAAGACAGCACTAGGCTGCGGCGGGGCGGATGTAACGCTCATTGGGCCGGCGCGCTCGTGCCGCAGCGGTGAGCCGATCCCGCGTGTCCAGTACACGGCCTCCGAGGTGGAAACGTGGCGCCAGGTGTACACCGAGCTGATGCGCTGCGTGCCTACTGGCGCCTGCTCCGCCTACCGCTCCGTCATGCAGCTGCTGCAGCGCGAGTGCGGCTACTCGGCCGACCACGTGCCCCAGCTGGAGGATGTCTCCAAGTTCATGCAGCGTGAGTGCAGTGCCGCGCGGCGCGTGCTCGGTAGCCCCGCTCGGCAGCTCGGCACGTGCTCCGCAGCCCCGTTCGGCGTGCTCCGGTGGACGGGCCTTGAGCCCGTCGGGTCACTGACCCCTCTCCCGTCGATATTGGCTTCGCGAGGGAATCTTTGTGCGGTTACGAACGTCCGACCGCCGTGATGACCAGCAGGCAGGCCGGCGTGATACCACGTGCCTAATGTGACATCATGCGGCACCGGGTTCGTCCTGTCCTCTTTTGCCGACCTGCTGACGACTCGGCGGACAGAGGTGTGACGTCACGGATTGACTGTGTGACGCCATCAGGCCGCACCGGGTTCGTCCTGCGTCCTGTGGCCGGCCTGCTGACTGCTCGCGACTTCCTGGCATCGCTGGCCTTCAGGGTGTTCCAGTGCACCCAATACGTTCGCCACCACAGCTCGCCGCACCACTCCCCGGAGCCGTGAGTCTATGGTTACAGGCCACACAGTATGTCTGCTCCCCGTAGCCGTGAGTCTATGGCCGTAGGTCATACAGTATGCCCATCATCACAGCTCGCCAAACCGCTCCCGGAACCATGAGTCTATGGTTATAGGTCAGACAAAATGTTCATCAGAACAGCTTTCCGCACCGCTCTCCACAGCCGTGGTTCTAACCCACAGGTCACAAAGTATGCCAATCATCACAGCTCGCTGCACCGCTCCCCAGAGCCGTGCATCTGTGGTTATAGATCATACAGTATACTTAGCATCACAACTCACCGCACAGCTCTCCGGAGCCACGAACCTATGGCCATAGGTCATACAGTATGACCACCACTACAGCTCGTCGCACCACTCTCCGAAGCCTTAAGTCTATTACTACACGTCACCCCGATCTCGTTACCGTCACCTCAGATCGCCACCCTGCTCTCTGGAGCCGTGATTCTATTGTCATACGGGTCGCACGGTTAGTACGGCTCACCGGAACCCTCAGGACCGGCGAGTGTGTGTGCCCAGGCTCTTGGCAACGCTGAAGTCCATGGATCTGACGCTGGCCTGCTGGCGATATTGATACATGTGTCCAGTTTAAACCGTCTTTCGGGGCTTGACCCCGTGACCCAACTCCATCATCAATTCCCAAGCCAATGTGTGTCATAGCTAGTGTAATGATGTGCTGCTTTGGTATTACAGGCGATCCAGGTAATGTACTATGTTGTTGGACTTCAGACAATAGCTCCCGGCGTACCCCCGTCTAACCTCTGCGCACAATGACTACAACGGCCGTTTCGCGTTGGTGTTAGGGTTTAAAGATCGTCCATCGTTTAGCCACTCAGCAACCATACAGAGTCGCGAATTATATCTCTTCGCGAGATTGGAAAACGAAGGAAAATGGGAGGCTTAAGCATGATGGCAAAAAACACTTAAATGTGTAAACAGTGTGTGGAATTGGAACTCTTGGCTCGCCTTGGACCCAAACACCGTTCTCCGGTCATCCAGCCCGATCCAGCAAGGTAAGACGGAGTGAGATATTTTGTACGGACGGGTTTAGCGCTGTAAATTCGTCTGTAAGTCACTCCTGAGTTGTCAAGAGGGGTGTGACGGGACCTTGTGGAGCCAAATCGGGGCTTCATGCTCCTCCGAATCGGCCCAAATAAGGAACATAATGACGGCTGACGTGGTCACATTTTACTCTGTAACGGCAGGGGGCCTAAAGGTCTTAGTGTTATTTCCACTATTTTAAAGGTTTTGTGTTATCAGGTTTTGTGGCTTCTATGCTTGCTGTGTGAACCCGCTGCATGGCGTAAAATAGGTTGTCTTTATCTTTGGGCATTGCCCGATTATTTGAGCCAGAGTAAAAATGTATTGGCCCTATGAGCCGCACGGGACATCTCAAATGTGAAGTCATCAAAACATATCTGCATGTGGGTAAGAATGTGTCGAAATGTGTGTGAGGGGGGGGGAATGAATGTGAGCTTTGGTAGCCCCGCAATACGCCGTACTCAGCAGGAGGTCTGGGGACAGAATAAATTAAAACAGAAAGACTCCCTTGGTTGCCGCATACATGCGACATGTGGAGAGCAACAAATCTGGCGCTACAAACTTTTAGTGAACGCTTTTGAACTACGCTCCGCGGCACTCGTGCTGGCTGCTCTAGGCCCGCAACATGGCCGACCTGCTTGGCCCGACTGTAATCACAAACGTCTCGCTCGGAATCGGGCTGGAGAAAGGCTGCACGTGCAAACATGCATGGCTTTTCGCAGCCCCGCTATTGAACGATGTATATATGAACCAGCAACTATAAGTCATTTAATTATTATAATTACGGATATCTTTAAAGCCTATTTCTACACGTTCCAGCGCGGTAACGATCGGACACTAAAATTACCCATCAAACTGTCATGACACCAACAAGGAAGTGGATATCGTTACACACAGATAACTGCAGTAGCATGCATCTCAAAACCACGCGCCTGCGTACGTGTGTACCTTCGATACACATGTACACTTGTTCGATTCGACGCTGTGTACTGTGCATCAATAACACAGGTAATCATAAGGTCACGAAGAGGCGAGGCGCTACCCGCGCAACCAGGGCTCTCAAAGAGGGTGGACAGCGCTTCCATTGCTCAACGTTCAGTTCGCAGATCAGCTTAGTCAAGTCGAGGATCTTGTGATTATTTATATTCAGGCTAGCTTTATGACAACAGATAACAAAGGAAGAACACACGCTTACATGCTCGTCACTGCTCACTCAGCCGTCGTCGCTTTGTCGCTCCCACAACTTCAATTTAACAGATGCGTGTCCCAAGCATAACAATCACCAAGTGGCCGCAACTCCCACAACACCGCGGCCAAACATTTCCCCCTCCCCCCCCCCCCCCATTGCAAGCAAGGCACATGGCCTCTGTTCCGTGTTGGTCCCGCGGAAATCCTTTAACTTAATCGCAAAATAGCTTGGACCACCATCACGCTCAGCCCGCCTTTAGCACACCACACCGACGGCGGAAACGTAACTCTTGCCCGCTGTGGAGCTCCTGGCCGACTTCCAGCCCACTAGACCACCAGCAGGGCCTTGAGCTGGTCAGGCGGCCGCGGCATCAGCTTGTCCGGCTCGGCGTACTCGTTGGCCGGATCGTGCACGGCGGCGTGCAGCCGGGCGTAGATAACGCTGACGACCTCCGCCGATCGGCGCTGCACGGCCAGCCGGTGCGCGGAGCTGGACAACAGGCGCAGCTGCGGCAGCGCCAGCATGTCCGGGCTGGCCAGGAACACGTCGAGCCGCTGCAGGAACTGGCGCACGGCCGCCTCGCCGAGACCCGGATGCCGGCTGAGCGGGCCGGCCGGCGCCGCCTCCAGGCCCGAGTAGATGTGCGTCAGGCCCAGCGACTGCACGGCGCTGCTCGCCTGCTCCGACGTCAGGGTCTCCAGCTGGGCGTCCAGCTGCGCCTGCAGCGCCTCCAGCCGCGCCTCCATGTACTCGTACAGCGCCAGCGTCGTGTGCAGCCGGTGCAGGCAGTTGAGCAGGTAGACGGCGCAGTCGCGCGCCGACAGGGCGGCGGCCGACTCGAGCAGCGCAGTCATGAGCGGGTCGAGCAGGCAGGCGGCCGTCTGCTCCACCTGCTGGCGGCGCGACTCGACCACGCCGCCGCCGTCCAGCGCCTCCCGTAACAGCGAGAGCGCGCTCAGCAGGGCGGAGCCCGGCGCCAGGTCACCGGCCGGCGGCGCCACGCGTTCGCAGAGCCGCGCCGCCTGCGCCTGCAGCGCCTGCAACGCGGCGCGCTGGCCGAGCGCCTGCAGCTCGTCCAGCGTGGCCGGCAGCGCGCCGCCGGCCACCACCTGGCCGATGGTGGCGCGGTAGAACTGGATCAGGCCGGCCACCTTGTGCAGCACGACGGCGCCCGGCGCGCCCAGCAGCACCTGCTCGAGGCGCGCGCGCAGCGGCCGGCACACGGCCTCGCACACGGCGGCCAGCGCCGCGTCCAGGCGCGCCGGCGTCTCGGCCGGCCGGCACTCGCGCAGCAGCGCCTGCAGCGCCTCGCGCTCGGACGGCGTCGCCTGGTGCAGCCAGGCCAGCATGTCGCCCACGTAACGCAGGGGGTCGTGCGCGTGAAGCTCGATGGGTCGCGGGGTGCCGCCGCGGCCGCCCGACGTCAGCGCGTCGATGAAGGCGCGCACCAGCAGCTGGCGTCGCACGTTGCAGTACTCGTCCATAACGTATCTGTGATGATGACACGACGGTTCAGGTTTGAGAGCTGCGGCGGAGGAGTAGGCGGTCTCGGCGGGTGCTGCTGTCCCCCGCGGAGCTCAGCAGTTCCCGGCCACCGCAACCGCCCCTGGTACGCCATCAATGACGCCAAGAAATGGCGGCAATTGTGCACACATATCCAGATATGCGCGACGCACCAATCCCCGCATAAGCCTGACAGCCTGGCACCCAATGGTGGACAATCGCTAATGCATGCCACTGCACACAGTCATAACCTGCGAACGTCAGAAAAAGATGGCCGTCGTAAGTTATCTCCCTTCTCAAAATGCACGGAGGCAGCTGTGTTACACCGTAAAGCGCAAAAACGACATCCCGCCCATCCAGCAACATGACAAACCATGGTAGAGCTCAGTGGTACCAAAGTAACCTTGCAAGGAGACGACCTTACCCTGCGCCCCTCGGCGGCACCGAACAGCACTTACTGAAATAGCACAGGCCTGTCCTGCAGGCAGGCCATGGCTTTGGTCAGGCAGACGTTGATGTCGGTGTCGGAGCAGCGCACGCGTGACTGGGCCCACTTGTACAGGCGTTCGTACGCCGCCTCCTGAAACAGCGGATGACACGGTTACTGAGCGATGCCTGCCCCTCGCCCACACGCCCACCACCCCCTTCCCCCCTTTAGGCCGAGCTGGCTGGCAGTCAGCGCTCGGCTCGCAACATGCGATGCACCGGGTGAGATCGACGGATGGATGCCGGTGGTTGACGAGTGCTGGCCACGGCCGGCACCCGGCCCCACCGCCGCCAGACGCCGCACCTGGTAGATGGACATCTGCTCCATGACCTCGAGCGCCGTCTGCTGGTGGCCTGACTGCAGCAGGAGTTGGACGTCGCCGTGGATGCGGCCGGCCCGCTCCAGGGCCGCGAAGAACGCGGGCGTGACCTCGGGCGCGCGCAGCGCCGCCAGCTCGGCCGGCGCCAGCTGGAAGGCGGCCGTGAAGGCGCCCAGCAGCCGCTGCTGGCGGCCCAGCCGGCCGGCCTCGGCGCGCAGCTGGGTCGTCTCGTCGAGCAGGTGGCGGCTCCGGCGGCGCGTGGCCGCCAGCCGCGCCGCCATCTGGCCGCAGTCGGCCGCCATGCCAGTGACGTCCGCGTGCACAGCCGCCAGCGAGCGGCGCACGCCGGCCAGCGACGCCAGGAACTCGGCGTTCACGGCCAGACTGCGCCGCTCGATGGCGCCGCGCAGGTTGCGCCGCGTCAGCAGCGTGTTCTCGCGCACCACCGACGACACGTCCTTCAGCGCGTCCAGCAGCTCCTGCGGCGGGGGCATGGGCGTCAGACCGGATCTGGGAGTTGGGCCATGTCTGTCCAAGTCATGTCTGAAGTGAAATTCAGGTCATGGTCAACACCTGTAAAGATCAGAATGACTTGACAGTAAAAGTTTGCTTTATTTACATTTGGCCACATTTTTGGAGGCATAATTTCATCCTTCCTAGGCAGTGTTATTGGAAATTATCTGGGGCCTGGCATATGATACAAGCTCATTATACACATGATCAAATATACCTGGCATGCTAGTTGGCAAACACGACCTGCTGGAATCACATCTCCTACAATTCATCCTCCAACCTTCAGAAATATCTGACAAACAGCTTCCCATCTCATACTGCAGGCCCATTGCAGGCCACTGAAAGGATGTACCCATTTTCCTCTGAGAAACTTTGAGACACTTACCTTGTCATCTTCAAGCTGCTTGGAGAGAATCTTCTGTATTTTGTTAGCCAAGGGATTTGATGTAGCCTTGTCATTAAGTTCGCTGTCTCCTTGAACATTTGCCATGATCACCTGCAAGGGGCGTAACATTTGGCTCTTGGTGCACAGATGATAGAAAGGGATATCAGTACATGAAGCAGATCTGGTTTCAGACATGTGGGCACATTGAAGCTAGTCTGCAAACTTTGACATTCTTATAAGAGTGCATCACAACAACACAGTCATATCTTGAAACCATACAACATTCCAGTTACATCTTGCTGACATTGTGCTTCCGCACCCACAAATCACACCTCGTCAAATATTGATGTTCAACCAATTTTGGGCAAGCAGAGCCAGCACAAAAGCCCACAGTCTGATTACAGGCCAATGGTGAATCACTGTAAAGGGCAGCTCCTGTGAAGTAAGACCAAATTAAGCATTGGTTCCATGGTGATCTGCCTCTTATAAAAAAGTCAAGCATCAGTACATAAACCGACATATTCCTTTCTGTCATGCTGATTCTTACTTTCCAAGATAAGGCTGAATGAAGTGTGAAATGAGGGGAGATGTGTCATAAACTGTGTTGTCATAAACAGCCTAATTTAGGCAGTCCTCAGTGAATGAAACAGGGAGGGGAAAGAAGCACAGAAATGGCCAATGCTTCAAAGTATTATAATGGTGACAAGGTAACTTTGGGTAGAAATTGGCACGCATCAGCTGGGTACAACATACTGATGCGGTATATACATCCACTACAGTGGATGATTTTTTGCAGACTGGGCCACAACTAAGTACTTCCCAGTCTGCAAAATGCAGATTTCAATGAGATCTTATTGAGACAGGGTGGGAATTTATACTTTGAAGGAGGTTACCAAATTTGGGGTGGGGGCTCCTCAAATTAATAGGGCAGCTCATGTCATTTTGCAGCAGTTCATCACACCTTGGAGCAGATGTTGAGCCATGGCAGATGTCAGAAAAAAACAGGTAAATGCACCAGGGCATATAAAAAACAAAGGGATGATGATTCACAGTCATAGCAGCACCTAAACACCAAATGCAAAGGCCTGTCTGGATCTGGATTTGACTGCTAACAACACCCTGGTAGCCAGGAGGCTATCAAGTAAACTGAAGTGATGAACAGTACATCCTGCCAAACCACAACACACTATGTGTGCTGAACAAACAGTTGCAAACAACCATGATCTACTGACAGTTACTAGTACTGTCAATAGATGCTAATGAGATCATGGGGAAAATCTCAGAGACTTCACCTGGTCTTCTTTACCCATCATTAATCAGTATCATCTCTTGACACTGTGACAAGCCATGAGCACTGCAGCTATACAAAATTGTCATTTTATTTTCAAGGGCAAGATGATACAATGCTGCTGCTTGCAGATACTGGTTGGTTCATGGTGGTCAAAGGAAGTCCATGCAAAGGTCTTGTAGATTGTTATATCATGAAAGCTTGTGTGGGCCCAAATCAAGTTGGCCACCACATTTGAGGCAAGATGGACCTGTCCTGAATATTATGTTGACTGGTTGGCCACCTTTTACAGACTGTCATGCCTAACCCACACACCTAAAGGTGAACCTTTAAGCGCACCAAGCATGCCCAGCTTAAAGAATATAGGTATGCACCCAAGCACAGTGAAATATTCTACATAACTGGGGCAATCAGGAACTGTCAAGTGATGATAATGTCATTGTAAACTGGGCCGGCACTGGTGCATAACATGTGGATTTCCCACCAGCTATGTCACAAGCAATGTAAACGGGGTGGCTGAACGGAGCAAATGAACAAAACTTTAAAAATCCATTGCACCTTGATTCTCCAATACAACTAATAACTCACGAACCTCAGTCACATTCACAACAAAAACACAGCATCAACCAAACCCGTGTAAGTGCGCTCACACCACCTCACCACCGGCGAGAAGCCGACGTCAATGTTATCGTTCAGACGCAGATCTGCCGGAGGCGCGTCACAAACGCCGCGCCAGCAGCGAAGGTGTACGCGTGTAAAAATTCCACTGAAGGTAAAAATGTGCTGCAAAGCTGCCAAAATAGAGAAGTTTTTTTGCCCGCGCTCCATGTCCGCTATTGCATTGCACCTTGGCTTCGCATAAAGGAATGGTACACAAAATAAGTGCGGATGTCGAGCACATAAGTGGTATGGGTGGTGCGTCTGGGTCCTGTAGACATATAAGTAAAACGAAACGAGACCGGAGCAAGTAAGGGCTTCATAAAATTAACAACGCAATTTGATTTTGAACGACACCTTCGCCTCCTAGGGCACATAGAGCCCCAGGGGAGGGGATGGTACGTAAACAGTGATGCGGTAGCCGGGGAGGGGGCAATGGAGGCAGGTCATCCCTCCCCTCCTCTCCCAACTTGAAAGCTGGGGGATGCATGCCAAAGTCTATGCTGGCCTGTCGAGGGCTCATTTTGAGCTATTTACCGTCTCTTCTGACCAAAAAGAGAGCAATTCTGAGCCAGAAGAGGTCTTATTCCGGCCTCCAGACCCATTCTGATCTGCAGGCAGCCCGTTATTGATTCCACCATTTTGACCTGTAAATGGGCCATCCTGTCCTTCAGAGTGGTCATTCTGGACTTAGGGGGGGGGGGCATTTTGGCCAGCAGAGGGCTCATCATGATATGTAAACGCATTATGACCAGTGGGAGGTCCATTAGTTTTTGTTGAGAGTCCAACTTCATCCTGACTTGGAAGGGGCCATTCTGGCCTGAAGGGCCCATTATATAATCTTAGAGGGTCCATTTTGGCATTTTGGAGTTCCCATTCCCCTTTCCCCAGCTTAAGCATAGTTCCCGCGCGCTGGTACCCAAATCCCCCTTGACTTCATCGCCATCGGCTGCATGGGTAACGCGATCAGCGCGGCGCTAGGCCGTGCACCTCAGGGCTGGGCTGGGGCTTCAACTACGCCTGCGTCTGGGCTTGGTTCCGGAACTCCGGCTGGGCCTGAGCCTGGTACTGCGGCTGAGCCTGGGCCTGTGCCTGAGCTTGGGCCTGGGAATGGGACTGGGGCTGGCACTGAGGCTGGGGCTGGGGCTGGGGCTGGGACTGCGGCTTAGCATAACATGGCTAGGGGCAGCCGATTTGGGGAAGGCAGGGGGCGCTTACCCCCTGACAAATCCGGGCAGCATCTAACACGGCGGCAGTACACATCACGACAGGGGCAAGTCAGGTCGGCCCTCCCTAGTCTCCACAGAGGGTCCGCCACCATCGGAAATGACATGACAGGGCAAAAGACGGGACGGGGGGGGGGGGAGGCAGGAGGCAGCAGAACAGTACAGAACGGGTCAGCATAGATCAGCAGCTGGGGCAGGGTGGAAATGCACAGCATAGAAGAGTGCAGAACAGGGGACAGCGGGATGGGACAAGGCGGGGATGGTACTGCGGAGCAGGAGAACAGATGATAGCACAGGGCAGGAAACGACAGGACGACACTGAAGGTATGGCCGAGAGCTAAGAGGGCTGAGAGCTGAGTGAGTTAATGAGTTTGTCGAATAAGAGAGGTTCCATCTGCACGCGACGGGTTCCGGAAATGACAGAACAGATCAAGAAGGATACGACAGAGCGGAGGACAGCACACCACATTTCAATAAGGTACAGAATGTGGCAGAGCCAAGGGGAATTTATATAAAAAACAAGATTTAGCTGAAAGACCATTGTAAAGGATGCTTCCTTCAATGCATGAAACTCGTTTCTTGCACATCTTGCACGTCTGCGTGGTTTAACGACGTGTGCGTATCATGCCGTTCGAGTTACTGGCCATTTTAAGGTGCCCATAGTGCACACGCACCTAACCAACCCCCGGGAACAGCCTGCATGGAGTGAGGTCTCGAATGTTTGAAGTCACATCTTCTCAGCTTTGCAACATTATGCATACGAGGCCATTATGACCATTATGACCATTATGACCATTATGCTTCGACCATTATGCTTAGACCATTATGCTTCATGGTAACACGAAACCTGAACAGGCGTGTTCCTCACTCAGTTATGGGAACAATGGTGTATAGTGTTCCGCGTGTTTTGACCAAATGTTCATGATGTATGGTTTCGTTACTGTAACAATGTCGTCCTGCAACGCGCGTTCCGCGGCATCGCCATTCTATTTAACATGACGTTAATATTGGGAGCTCGATGACTAATCGCAACTGAGGGGCGCGACGCGCAAGCAATAAGTGCTTATCGCAGCTAGTTTTCATTTTATTCGTGAAGATTTTGCTGCGGGCGCACGGATCCAAACCGCATGAATTTCAGTCGCGTGAACTGATACGACACAGCATGGCTGTGGTTACCCACTTGTTGATGTAGCAATTTGTTATATTCCCGCTTCTGTGCGCCGTAAAAACCTCAGTACGGGGCAGTGATTATCGCGGCATGCGGTTCCAGTATGCTGCAATGTCCACACCTGACTGATGCCGATGCAAAAAAAGGGATTCAGCGAGGTAAAACCGCGCTTAACCTCCTTTCAGGCTTCTAGGGAAGACGTCAGTACCACTGAATTAATGCGCTGACAACCACTGCAGTGATGCGCTCTTTAAGCCCAATAACTCACTAACGGGTGTATCCACCCTGTTCCACTTCAGAGACTGCATTCATGAGCTGCTGGGCCACGCGCCGCTGCTGGCCGAGCCGTTCTTCGCCGAGTTCTCGCAGGAGCTGGGGCTAGCGTCGCTCGGAGCCACCGATGAAGAGATTGAAAGATTCGCCACGGTAATAACTACTTGAGAGTACCCAGATAACCTACCAAGCATTGGCACTTCCTAGGCGCACACTGCTTGTACGACGATAAAACGACCTGTCACGTTGCCCTGGTCGTCTTCTAGCAGCAGGCACTATCACCTCCACGCGGGGAAATCACTATTCTTTATCGGTCCGCGGTAAGCACAGCCTCTGGTTCACAGACCTCACTGCTTTACACAGCAGCTGAGGCAGGCAGAACTTACATGTTCTCATCACCGTAAAAGTAACACCTATCCAAGTCACAAGCAACGATAAAATGGTCAGCGGCAGCCAAATGACGTCACGTTCAAAAAGCCACGCCTTATCCTAGCCTTTTGCTAAAAGAGGCGACGCAAGATCTGTGTCACCTTCGGCCGGCCTGGATCCGGCACTGTTCCTGATGTCCGGCTGACCAACTTCCGTCCGGTAGGTGTACTGGTTCACGGTGGAGTTTGGCTTGTGCCGCGAGGGCGGCGAGCTGCGGGCGTACGGCGCCGGCCTGCTCTCCTCGTACGGCGAGCTGGAGCACTCGCTCTCGTCACGGCCGCAGCATCTGCCGTTCGAGCCGACCGCCACCAGCGTGCAGCCCTACCAGGACCAGGACTACCAAGACGTCTATTTCGTGGCCGAGAGTCTGCTGGACGCACAGGACAAGTTCAGGTGCGGCCACCCAAAAAACATAATAAACAAAATATGTACGGAAAAAATCGGGTGCGTCCGAGCAACAGGTTCAGGTACAGGACAGGTTCAGGTGGGCCCGGTCTGACCGGCCGGTCGATCACTTGGATAACAGGAGAACCATACAATAAAGTACCAGATAGGGGACCGGATTGCTGCCGGCAGTTAGATCAGTTTTTTTAGTTAGTTTAGGTGAGGCCGGACGGTTACGCAGGGCAAGCTTTGATGGGGCCTGGGGATTGTCCAGGACAAGCACCCATAGAACTACCAGGCAGCTATACATCGAGGTGGGGTCTAGGGGCTGGCCAGAACAAGGCCACGTAGAGTGACCTAATGTCCACACATTCAGATGGCGTCGGTTTAAGACGGATTCACGTACGTTCCACTGGCGGACGCCCCTCACTTGGCGTCCGCCAGTGGAAACGGGCGGGGTCGGCTGGCTAGCACCGAACGTAAAGCCGAGTCAGTTAATACCTTTCTCCAGCTGACACTGTCTCGCCAGAATGTAGACAACACCATTCACGTTTCACGTAAGAAAACGTCCAGTCCAGAGCCGCCCTGGCCATACAGGACACGCATGCTGACCGCAGTCGGGCGCCGTCCACAGCCCACCCTAGCCCTGGCGCCGTCCACAGCCCACCCTAGCTGGCGCCGTCCACAGCCCACCCTAACTCCGGCGTCATCCACAGCCCACCATTGCCCTAGCGCCGTCCACAGCCCACCCTAATTGGCGCCGTCCACAGCCCACCCTAACTCCGACGCCGTCCACAACTCCGACGCCCGTCCACAGCCCACCTTAACTCCGGCGCCGTCCACAGCCCACCCTAACTCCGGTGCTGTCCACAGCCCACCCTAACTCCGGCGCCGTCCACAGCCCACCCTAACTCCGGTGCTGTCCACAGCCCACCTTAACTCTGGCGCCGTCCACAGGCGCTGGGTGGCCACCTCGCTTAGCCGCCCGTACGAGGTGTGGTACAACCCGCACACGCAGACCGTGGAGAGAGTCGACGACGTGAACAAGGTGGGCGCCATGGTCTCCCAGCTGCACGGCCAGCTGATCCGGCTCAACAGCGCCGTGCAGAAGATGAAGTTCTGAGTCGGCCACTAGAGGTGCCACCGGCGCGCGCCGTCGCCACTAGCCACATGTTCGGTCTCAGCAGCGGAGGCGCATTTCCGGCCGCGCCGTCCGTTGCCGTTGTTTCGTTTCGTTACGGGCATGTCTCGGCTGTACTTCAGCAGGCTGTTGACCGCGCCACCGGCGCTCTCTGGCGAAGCAACCAGAGGATGTGACCGCGATTCCGCCGCGTGTCCCGGCCCTGTCGGCGCTCTGGGCGGCGGCCGCCCCCGTGCAGCACAGGGCCAGCTTCGGAGGGGCCGCCGTCCACACCCGACGGCGCCGCGCCGCGTGATGCCTATCTCAGTGTGTACGCATAGGGACCAAAGCAGCTGGTGAAAACGGGGCCAAGACTCGGTGTTGTTCGTCATGACTGTATTACTGTTCCGTGTTTACAAATACACACTCATTACGGCAAAGTCCATCGCCTCGCCTTGCCACTGATGCCACCCACAAGTTCAATGCACTCCCTGCCCCGACCAGGCAGAGCCCGGCAGCGTTCGCAGGGCCAGAGCGGGCCGGTCCACCTGCAGGCCCACCGCCGACCTCACAGCGAGTGTACGATGGTCTTGCTGCGCCGCTGCTCCAGCCACTGGCGCAGCATCTCCTCTGGCGGCAGCGGCGCGTCCGTGTAGTACTGCTCCGGCGGCGCGCCCTCCTCCAGCCGCAGGAAGTAGTGGGTGTAGCGATAGTGCACGACGCCGACGCGGACGCGCGCGTGGCGCCGGAGGCCCTTCAGCACGCGCGCCTTGGTGGCGAACGACTCGGCTGCGGGGCAGAGCACAGGCATCAGCGCCATGCGGCGGCGGACCACGACAAAACCGTGCCGGCCGCGCGCGCACACGGATGTCCGCCAGTGCCCCATGCGGAGCTCCGGTTCACTTCACAGGCCACTGTGGTGCTGTTCTCGTATGCCTCTGCCACTACTCTTCTTCTCGAGCAATAACGCAACAGTGTTGAGGCAACGTAAATTGGGAAGGGTTCATCAAGTCCTACGTTTACAACGACTGCGTGAAAGCTTGCGACGTCTTACAAGACCTTACCAAATTGCAGCACTGCACAATTATAACGAGTTGATTGCAGGTGCAGTTTCGACCGCAATGAGCAGCATGTGACAAAACAGCTTTTGTGCCAGCGGAACGCGCCGGCATCAACGCGATCACGACGCTCAACCCCTAACTTTTATGTGAAGGACTCTTCCTTTGAACGGCGGTTGGCGAATCACCGGAGCGACATAATGGAGATCATCGGAGTGCGTACGAGGCGGCGACACACACTGAAACGTACCGACCCACAGGTTGTTTTTGAACTCGACGTTGTGGAATTTGACGGCCATGTCCTGAGCCTCCAACAGCGCCTCCGTGGCGATCTTGGCACCCTTCTTGTTCACAAACTTCAGCTGTTTCAGGGCCTCCTCAATGCTCATGCCACGAATCATCGACGCAATGTACCACATCTTCTTCTGGCTGTACTTGACGTCGGTCTTGACGTGGCACACGAACTGTGGAGGTGGGTTGGCGGTCAGCAGCGGCCACATCGCTCACGCCGACACGGCGGGCCGTGGTGATCGCCCGACTGGACGTAGACTGCCGCACGGCTCCACAGCCCAAATCGTGGCTGTCGGGTAAGGAAGGCAGAGGACGTCGGCTTTTTTATGTCGCGCTGGTCACACCAGGGCTTAGGTTTCCTATCAGATTGGGAGACTTCAGTTCCCCCAGCTCCCACACACACTTTGAGAAAAACGTGTCCAAATCCGGGGAGAAACGGGTCTGTTGGTAGATTTTCGGGGTAGACACCGACGTACTTTTATCCTCAACCCCCCCCCCCCCCCCCTCCTCCAACACATTTTCCGTAACCACACCATTGGATCATACGACTGTAGCAATACTGTCACCCGCGACATGTTCGAGCCCAGCTCTGTGCGTGTTAGATCTCCAAATTATCGCGAAGGTCCACAGGTTAAACCTGAGTAGATGGCTACATAGTACCCATTGAATGGTAACAATGAGATCCGCGTTAAAATGTAGGACACAGCGCCACTCTCCTCAGCTGTCACAACTAACGACTGACCGATGACACATGACCCGCAATCATCCATTGTCACAGTCTCACCGTCCAGCACATCCATCGTCCCAATCCCACCGTCCAGCACATCCATCGTCACAGTCCTACCGTCCAGCACATCCACCGTCACAGTCCCGCCGTCCAGCGCATCCATCGTCACAGTCCCGTCGTCCAGCAAATCCATCGTCACAGTCCCACCGTCCAGCACATCCATCGTCACAGTCCCACCGTCCCGCACAGCCATCGTCACAATTCCACCATCCAGCACATCCATCGTCACAGTCCCACCGTCCAGCACATCCACCGTCACAGCCCCACCGAATAGTACATCCATCGTCACAGTCCCACCGTCCAGAACATCCATTGTCAAAGTCAAACCGTCTAGCACATCCATCGTCACAGTCCCACCATCCAGCAAAACGCCCCGATCACCGATGAGCCACCGACAGCCGGTCCGCTGTGGCGCCCCGCCGCACCAGCGCAGACCTCACGCCACTCGAGTAGCGGGGCAGGGGGCGGCCCGGCAGCGGGCCCCACTCACGGCGGGTCGGGCCGGCTCGTCGGGCGCCGTCGGCGGGTACACGCGCTGGTTGTAGAGCGGCCAGCGGCGCGGGCCGGTCGGGGGCATGTAGGGCGCCGGCCGCGGCCGGTCCACGTGCAGCGCGGCGAGCGCGGCCGCGCACGGCGTCCGCGCCGCCAGCAGTCGACCGCCGGCTGGAGCGGCCGCCCAGAGAGCTGTCGGCATCCGAGGCAGGGCGGTCACGGCCGGGGCAGGGCCGTAACGGCCGGGGCGATAGCGTCACGGCCGGGGCGAGCGCGTCACGGCCGGGGCGAGAGCGTCACGGCCGGGGCAGGGCGGTCACGGCGGAGGCAATAGCGTCACGGCCGGGGCAAGGCGGTCACGAACGAGGCAGGGTGGTCACGGCCGGGGCGAGAGCGCCACGGCCGGGATCCAGGCTGAACGCGGCTGGCAACGAGCCAACAATGGGTCACGTGTGGACTCGGTCCGCACCTGACTGATGGGAGGACTGACTCAGTCCGCACCTGACTGATGGGAGGACTGACTCGGTCCGCACCTGACTGATGGGAGGACTGACTCAGTCCGCACCTGACTGATGGGAGGACTGACTCGGTCCACACCTGACTGATGGGAGGACTGACTCGGTCCGCACCTGACTGATGGGAGGACTGACGGGGTTGTTCGTTATGTTTGGTCAAACACGTCAGTCGACAGAACAGAAAAGGACACTTTGCCGCGAGACGCCCGCCGTAATAGCACGCAGGTAACATAATTTCTGCGCAAGGGGGAGCGCCTAGTGCTATAACTATATTTCACCACAGCTGACCTGCATCCTTTTTTATAAATTTAGTCCCTACATTTTGACTCAGTAGAGTTCTGGGACTAGCCCACAGGCAGATTTAGCAGCATGGGCCCTGGCCAATCATCAGCTCTGTAAATTCTGATCACAAAAGTCCAGTCCAACAGCAGAATTTGGTGGCAAGTTTACTGTGTCACAATGTCTGGCACGGTCAACCCCATCCTGACCTCATCAGACCTTGAGCAACTGCTGTCACCTGCCACAAGCTGTTCCAGTCAGAAGCAAAAAGTAGTGAGTGCCAAAGGAACTCAAACCCATCCACCCCACCACAGCAAGATTGGGTAGCTGGTTGAGCTGATTGAACTGAAGTGATTTGATTGATGAAATTGATTTGATTTGAATTGAACTGATTGAGGTCTGGGATGACTTTTGGGCACAAAAATGAGAAAATGAAATTAATGAGATTAATGAGAAAAATGAAATTAATGAGAAATACAAACGCGGATGAATCCGGGCTGCAAGGGTAGATTCATGGACCAATGTTTCATAACAGTATGCTAGTCCAGGATCATGAAATCCAACTTTTGGACCCAGATAAACAGTCACCAGAATTGGCAATCTTTGTTTCAAAACGTGGTCCCTGCACATAGGATCCATTATCCATTGTGCTGGTGCTGCACCTACAGAACAACCCAATTTACAATGAAATTATCATTACTAAATTTGTTTTTTATTAAGCCCTACATGAAATATCTGTGCAGCCTACATGACCCAGAGCCTCTCAGACCACAACCTACACTTCATAACACTGTGCATAATTTAAGCACTGGGGAAAGATGCAGTTTGTTCCTAGATGGGCTGACAAGTAGTCTTGTGCATATCCATTACAATCCTAGTACTCAAAGCACATGGCAGACATTGTTTGGGACAGATGCTAATACAGGTAAGATGTCATCTGTTAGAAGGCATTTACTTTAACAACATGGCCAAGCAGTGAGATAGATGTCCATGGTCAGGGTGGAAGCTGGAGTACAAACACAGACTTGCCACAGGCTGATGTTAGAAGCAAGACTTTGATGAAGTCAGAAACTTGGATCCATGCTTCCATGGGCCAACTAACAGGTATGTGCTCATGATCACAAGCTATTCTGGATAATAGTATGCAGTTTCATACATCCAGTATGGTATGAAAAGCAGACCATTTTTTCTCTCCAAAATATACCTACCACCTTGATTTTCTAATGGTGAATACATTTGCCATTACATACTGATTATGTTGTAGCCAAGTCAAGGTGTGATTGTGGCTGAAAGACATCCAGCCCAGTGAATGGATTTTCTCATCATGGGCTGCAGACATAATGGATGGGTGGTTCCTGGACTCACACCTGGTCAGTCACAGTATCAATAAATCCTTCTATAATAAGATCTATAAAAATCCTTTTAACCATTGCCAGAGCACTTGACAGAGTTTTCTGGTACAAGACCTAAAATGTGGTTGGCTTTCCTCACATCTTAAAATTATTTTTAGCTCTTTCCTTCACACAGCCATATACTGGCCCTGATTTTTGTTTTGGTACTATATTTTTCTTATGTGAGATAAGATCACCTGTAAATAATTCATTTATCATCTACCATGCTCAAGGTGACCAGAAGTTCTTCATCAATTTCTTGTCATAATAGTTATTCATGTATATGGCTGTGTCACATTATCAGACAAGATTTTATTTCATATAACCTGTTTTGGATATTTCACTGGAGAGGCTGATTTATAGGTGCTCATTTACCAGCTTTCCAATGACAACACCTCAAATGTAACCCTTTCTGGAAACAAAATTTATTTTCTGATTATTATGCAGGACATCACAGGCTGTGCTCATTATTCAATTATTTGCCTTTTAATAAAGCATGGATGTCACATCTGGCCTGTCAGTTCCCTGGCATAATAGCTCATATAGAAAGTTACTTGTCTTTCCACTGTACCACTATGCTGTGTAGTTTTATGCCATACCCACTACTTTAAGTGACCAAGCACTCAATTAAAACCCACAGCAGCCTGATCAATTATGATGCAGGCATAGGAACAGGGCAGTGTGGTGGTTTTCATTGTTCCTTACCCTGTCCCCATCTTTCCTGAATGGTGAACATTTATGCCATCATCATCATGGAAAGGATCAACTTCAAAACTTCAAAATTGGCTCTGGTGCACACTTTTCACCCAACCTTTACCTATGACTCTCAATGCAGAAAACAGACCAGACAGCGAAATAAATACAATAGCTGTAAGGATTCAGATAAACATATCAGGACATGGTGCAGGCTGACATCGGTACCTTACAACGTCTTACCTCTACAAGTCATAGCCCTTTGGATGCACGAAAGAGACATCATTCCTAGCCTAATGCACGTTGAAAGCAGTGAAAGCACTGTACTCGGGACGCATTCGTGGCGTATAAGTTTTTACACCTGTTTTGCTACAAATATTTTGTCACGATGCTCACAGAGCACACTAGGCAAAGTACGCGGCTTCCCGACCAAATATCACGCCCGAACTCTCATCTGCACACGTTCCATAGCCGTCCCACAGCAGACCAACATGGGCACAAAACTGGTACGAAATACGGCACTGAATAACAGCTGACTGAATGATGACGTAATAAAACCCCCATCCATCTGGCGACAGCTGGAAGCGCGTCACGCGAGTTCGGTGGTCCACCCCCGGCAAGTCCATGGTGACACCTGGGCACGTCCCGTCACACATGCAGTCTCTAGCAGGTACGCGGTGACCGAATGGAACTGGGCGGGACGGAACGAGACCACACAGAAACAGACGAAGCCGGACCGAGCCGGATGAGACTACTCCAGATAAAACCGGACGGGACAGCGCAGAAACAGACCAGGCCGGATCCTCTGGAACCGGACGAGATCTGATAGGACCAGATGAGACTGGATGGAGCCAGATGGCACTAGACGAGACCCGATGGGATCGGACAGAACCAGAGGAGACCTGGGACCGGTCTCCGGACTGGACCTGGACCGGTCTGAAAGGATGAGGCAGGCTCTGACGCCACGAGACGGGATCGGACGGCCAGGAACGTGACCAAAAGGAACGGGACAGACATAACAGAGTCAGAAGGATTAAGAACAGAAGCGGAAGGGACTAGAAAATGCTGGCCTGACTCAGACTGTCCAGTCCAGACAGTAACAAATTGCTCTCTCTCTCTCTCTCTCTCTCTCTCTCTCTCTCTCTCCTCTCTCTCTCTCTCTCTCTCTCTCTCTCTCTCTCTCTCTCTCTCTCTCTCTCTCTCTCTCTCTCTCTCTCTCTCTCTCTCTCTCTCTCTCTCTCTCTCTCTCTCTCACTCTCACTCTCACTCTCTCTTGAGGATCAATACCTGGCCCTAAGTGGCAAATTCGGATCTCTCTGGCAGTTCAGCAGGCTCTTTATGACCACCAGGGGCACACTGCCTTCATCGTCACTTAGAAATATCTGGTCTTTTAAAGTCTCTTTAAAGTCTCTTCTGACGCTGCGGATGTATTTCCCAAGCAGGGACGCGACAGAGGTTTACATTTGTCGGGGGCTCTGAAACAATGAGGAGCACTGCGTTGATCTGGGGTCAAAGTGCTTACCAGTGGGTCCTGTGGCGGCCAGGGCCTCGGGTCAGGCAGGGACAGTGTTCAAGGGGGCCCGAAAAAGGGCCCAAAGGACCCCTCGGGACCAATGATTAGGGGCCCAATTTGAGACCACAGGGCTGGACTCCCGAATACCATTCAGTGACCCTTTTGCGCCCATCAGAACGTTCTCTGAATCGGTGAGGACCTCTGTGTAGTTCAGGCACCACCACTACCGGACTGGTGGAGACCCCCGGGGTCTCCAGCCATCTAGTGAGCCATTCTCGAAATGAAGTGGCCTAAAACTGAGATGCTCTTAAATGGGAGGGAGGACCTGGCCCCTTGTATGATTAACTCGGCTCCCAATGGCCCGGGGCCCCTGGATCCTGGGTCCCCACTTTCCGAAAGCGATCTCCAGCTCTGTCCAGTGCGGCCTTGTTTGGACCGTGCCGTCCCTGCCGGAACTATCACAGGGTTGGCGATGGTTTTTTGGGTTTATGACGTCACCGTAAGATCAGAATAGTAGGTGGATCGACAGCTGTACCGCAACAGACAGCCGTATCTTGAAAAACCGTGTGCATATTTATTCCGGTAGATCGAGTATCGCGCAAGGGACGCGTTAAGGTTTACGTCGGAGGGGGAATGGGTGAGTTGGGGTGTTAAGTGAAACGCTATTTTTTTATCATTATGAGACACGTCGAGCCAAATCAATCTGCTCGAGGTGTTAAGGAATGCCTTGTGCGTCTGCTGATGTCAATCTTTAATGAGTTTTGTGCTTGATTCTGTTAATTCGGACCGTTTTAGGAAGTATGGGGCCTGCACCGTTGACACCTCAGAACTTTGGTTGGCTTCACAGCAGACTTCACACCCTCCATAAACCCTGGAGGCATCACAATGGTTGTGATGCTTTATGTTGAAGTATGCCTTCAAATGTTTCTCTTTCCCCCGGGTGGGCTAGTGCTTATGCACCTTACGCACTGTTTTGGGTTGTTTAGTTATGTATCAATGCGTTGTCTTTTTCAAGCCTTTCTTATTTTCAGGGGTAGGAAGTGCATACGTGCCATTTCAAATGAATATTGCAATGTGCTTCACTTGATATTCTTGCTATATGGTGAGGCTAAGGAAATGTACCACCTCTAGCCATAGAAGCCCTTATCTGGAAATCAGTGTTCACTGAGCTCTGCCCCACTCCAGCACATGTGCGGTATAGTTTATTTGCATGTGGGTGTTTTGACATGCTAAGATGCACTGTTCTGGCCTCTAGCATTGTCTTTACTCATTCAACCTCTTATGAGCCCCAGGAATTTCTGCAGAAGTTGCATCATGACCATTATAGTCATCACTTCAGATCATATCATAACCATTTGTAGGTCATTCAGACCTATGCATGATGCCCTAGAGACATGATATGGATACTGCCATCCCATTGGCCACATGGTGCATGAGGCCAAGATAAAAGAATCATTGAATTTTTTGTGTCTGGTGTACATCAGCAGATTTTTTGCATAAATGAAATTCAATTAGCTATAAAGCAATGCTGTGCATGGCATGCAAGTTTCAAGAACAAATCACCTTAAATGCCACATAATACAGGAAGTTGGACAATGGCTCTAGTTACGGAGACTGAATGGGTGATGTAGGTATGGAAACATGAGTCAGCTAAGCATTTTTTATGTGGTGTGGTATTGTAAGTCATATCCATGTAAGATATTAATAATGTGTAAGTTTAATTATGGAAAATTGATGATGCAATGCTTATCATGTGGCCAAGCCTCTGTGTACCCATAGCAGCACATTTTTTTGTGGCTTTGTCACAGATGTTTCTGGTTTGTTTGACATTGTGACAAATGAGCAGTTCAAATGTGAGCAAAAGGCTCCTTACCATGCAGAAAATACATCTTGGAAATGATTCTGGGGTGTGATTGTGATCAGGCTTTTGTTTTCCTCCAGGCACAACATGTTCAAGAGTATATTTGGAAGAGACTCTCCTGATGTTTCCAGAAGCAAGCAGATAAAAACATTGCGGATCTACAACAAAGAGTGGGTGATATGATTTTTCATTGAAAAATAGGTTACATTTCAGCAGTCACATAGCTTTCAGTGATGTTCCCCTTATCTTCTCTGTATTGCTCTGTTCTAGCAAAAGCTGGAGAAAGGAAGTCAATCCATGTTGAAGGAACCATTTCATTGAATTTTTAATTCCACAATGTTGTCTGCACTCAACCATGGTGTTGAGAATTTGCCTGCATGTTAGCATTCCAATGTGCACTGCAGGAATAGTATTAGAGACACATTTACAGGTTTTTACTGTGTGGGATGTGGTAAGGATGGGTGTGCATCTCACTGAAGAATGGTGGAAGTATTATTAGCTGGTGGGCATGTCCCTGACTTTATTGCGTGTGCAGTGTGACGGAGGTGACGCGGGACCAGGAGCACTGGGTCATTAGCTGGTGGGCATGTCCCTGACCATATTGCGTCTGCAGTGTGACGGAGGTGACGCGGGACCAGGAGCACTGGGTCATTAGCTGGTGGGCATGGCCCTGACTGTATTGCGTCTGCAGTGTGACGGAGGTGACGCGGGACCAGAAGTACCGCGTCATTAGCTGGTGGGCATGTCCCTGACCGTATTGCGTCTGCAGTGTGACGGAGGTGACGCGGGACCAGAAGTACCGCGTCACTAGCTGGTGAGCATGTCCCTGACCGTATTGCGTCCGCAGTGTGACGGAGGTGACACGGGACCAGGAGTACCGGGTCGACTTCTCGGTGGACGGCGCCGCGTACAGCGTGAACGTGTTCCTGCCGCCGGGCTACCCGGACGAGCGGCCGCTGCTGCAGGTGCGGCCGCCCGTGCGGCACCCCTGGCTGGACGCCGCGCAGCAGGTGGTCGCTGCGCCGGGCATCGTCAATGTAAGCAACTTCCGCCCGGCTCTCGCGTGACGCGTGCTGGCACGCTCAACGCTGAGCTGCGTGTTGGAGCTTGACATGTGAAGTGGCATGGTCTCGGAACGCCACGGGTGCATGCGGGAACACTGCTGACCAGTTTCTTTTTGTTTTACTCGGCATGTGTAGTAGCGAGGCCACCTGGTGTTGGGAGGGGGGGGGGGGGGGGGGTCAACGTGAAAACGATTCGAGTCCGTGGTTGTTGATTGGTTCGGACATTGAGTATTGCCCTCTAGTTGACTAGCGACTTATTCCGCTTCCCTCGAATCAAATTGTTCTGTTTCAATAGCCGTTGTATCACCGGATTTAGACGGAAGCCGATCTTAGACCCAAAACGGCTAGAGAACGCTTAAAGCTTCGGCAATATTTCACAATGCCGCGCGACTCATTCACGGCATTCATTGACGCGTGGCCTTCAGCCCCGGATCGCAGCCGCTGCCCCCGTGCGTGCGCCGCTGCCCTGTGCGTGTGCCGCTGCCCACGGTTGCTGTGCCGCCCCGTGCTGCCCCGTGCCGTGCTGTGCCGCTGCCCCGTGCGGTCCGCTGCCTGTGCCGCTTGCCCCGTGCGTGATGCCGCCTGCCCCGTGCGTGTGCCGCTGCCCCGTGCGTGCGCCGCTGCCCCGTGCGTGCGCCGCTGCCCCGTGCGTGCGCCGCTGCTGACTGACGGCTAACCTCTGTGTCGCAGTATACGAAACACTGCGACCTGGGCCAGCTGGTGCAGAACATCGTGCACGAGCTGGAGAGGAAGCTGAGCGGCGGCACGGCGGCGGCCGCCTCGCCGGGCTTCTCGCCCGGCCTGTACCCGGCCGCCGGGCCCAGCGTGCCGCAGCCCGAGCAAGGTGCGCCACAGGCTTTGTGTGTGCTTGTGTGTCGCGGCAGTGTTCAATGCGTTGCTGCCGAAGCCTGGTACGACAGGGTGAGCCGTGTGCGGGTTCGATACAGTGTACAGTGTGTTGCGGTCAGGGCCTGATATATATATATATATATATATATATATATATATATATATATATATAATTTGTTTGGACCTTTAAGGATTCCTTTTTGTGAATTATAGCTGATCTCTACCATCATTTTGGGATGTTTGAATGCAGTCCAACGCAGACTACATGTTAGTTGAAAATACACCAGTGCATATGATGCTCAAGGAGCTCTGGAGAGGGCCTGGAGCACCTGGATTCATTGCTATTTTGCTGAAAGCAGTTAATTAATCCCTTGCAAAGTTCTTGTTTATGAGCAAGTAGTTTACTGCTTATTCCTTTGAGCAGCATGTCCTCACAAGCCGTACTTTGTGCAAGTCGGGGGAGACCACGGCTCTGCCTGTTACGCCGGCAGCCACCTGAGTTCGTGCCGCTGTTGTCAGATTTCCCGGAGCTGGCGTGCCTGAGTCAGGAGGAGCTGGAGGAGTTGCTGGAGGACGACGACCGGCTGGAGCAGCTGGTCGAGTCGCTGCCTCCCGTCAAGCCGCTGCTGGCCGACCTGCAGACGGCCATGGACAGGGTGGAACGACTTGCCGGTGGGTGTTGGATGTCGTGGCCGCTTTTGAAGCCGTGAAAAAACACTTCTCGAGTATTCCTGAAAACTTACGCCTTGTGGCTCGTGAGTGATTTACTGTGGAGAAGTCACTCGGCAGGGATACAGCTAGTGGTTCAGGCAACCGGTGGGTTTTCCCAGGGCAAGTTGCGCTTGTGTACTGAAAAATGCATATACATGTACATGTACAATGCTCTGTAACAAAATATAGTTAAATGATCTACGAACCACTCGCAATACAATGCGCACCTGGAAATACGAATGCTGCCATTGCAGACAGAGCGATTTAAACGAAGCCGCTCAGTGTACAGAAACCATGCATTTGGCTTAATCACTCGTTAACGCAACTCACAATCCTCACCATTTACGTTCTTGATTTTATCGCCCAGCTAACATCTCTGCATGTTATGGACGCCTGTCAACAAATGCTGCTGTCGGGGACTGCGTCTGACCTGTTGGCCGTTGCCCCTCGCCCAGGTGAGGCTCTGTCGGCGGCGCCGGAGCTGGCCGAGCGGCAGAGGGCGGCGGCGGCCGGGCGCGAGGCGGTGCGCGCCGAGCTGGGTCGGTTCGAGGCGGCCGAGCGGCGCCACGGCCAGCTGACGGAGCGGTACGCGCCGGCGCACCTGGCGCGCCTGCTGCAGATCTCCGCTGCCGAGGCTGACGAGTGTAGCGACCGGCTGGCCGACCAGCTGGCGGACCGCTCGCTCGACGTGGACGGCTTCGTGCGCCAGTTCATGCAGCAGAGGACGGTGCGTGATGGGCGGGGCGGAAGGGGCAGCACTAGATGATGCAGCGAGGTCGGGTGCTGCAGTGTGGGGTGTTTGTGAATGGGGTGGTGTGCAGGAGGGTGCACAAAGCTTTAATTGGGTGGGACGAGTAAGTTCAAGTCAGCATAGGGATAAGGTTAGGGGAAAACATCCTTGAAAAAGTATGGTTACCCAGTAGAAGTATTCTATCTGAAACTTAGCTAAGCGTTGGCGGCGGGACGTGCTCATGGCTCTCCAACCCCCCCCCCCCCCCAACCCTCCCCCTCTCCCGCATCGAAACCCACCTCCATTTGGCGACCGCGTGTGTGGCCGGAGTTGCGTGGCAAATGTTGGGAGCCTTTGAATCATACGGCAGCTGGAATCTGTTCATCACCCCGGAGTGGTCAATTTCTCACGTTAGCGACCATCTGCAGTTCACGTAACAAATAGGAACAATAAATCTTGCGATCTGCCTCGTCCAAGATTGCTGATCCAAGTGTTCCTGAATTTACGACAGGCTCACCCGAGGGCTTTTGAAACTCATTTTGTGATCGTCCATTGCTGGTGCGTTAATGGCTGTTGCCGTGGCGGTCCCTGACCCATGACATTCGACCGCCTAGTATGAACAGCGGCCGATGGGCGAGGTGACCTTGACCTTTTACTCGATCTTGTGCCTGGCCGTGGGTGGGCCACGCGACCAGCTTACGCTCACCCAGCACCAGACCCTCCAACTCCGGGCCGTGCCTGTCGAGGGAGACGCTCCCGTGCCAGCGGTAGCAGGGGCGGTGCCAGGTGGAGAGGGCCGGAAGCTGGGTTCGTCCACAATGAATCGCTAATATGCCAAGTCATTATTCGATCTCTCAAGCCGAGGCGCCCAGATCTTCGTGTGGCACTTCCTGAGCTGTATCAGTGTCAGACATATTAACAAGAAGCGAGATGTGGCTGTCAACTAGCGTCCCTCTACGATTGCTAACTGTCGTCGGGTATAGCAGCCCCGTCGTTGCAGGCCAAGTTCAAGCTCTTTTCCGAGAGGATGCGGATGTGTCCCTGTGGTTATTGGCGCCGCCTTTGGGGCTAGAAAACATTTAGGTTGAAATCCGTGCTACCGCAAAGCGGTGTGCGACATTAGCCTTTTATACACATCCAACAAACTAGCTTCGTCGGATCGGAGATGACATAGACGACCTTGATCATCAAGCTCAGTATGTAACTGCCGGATGGTCCAGGCAGTGTCACTGGCGGGTGATCACGATCTCGGTGAGGTGAACATCACGCTTGGGTCAAACGGGCTCCGACTGAAGGGCATGCTCGTGACGCACGGGCTTCACTCATGCAACATAATGCATCCTACGTATAGGCTATCTAACCCACCAGGTGACATGATTCCTGTGAACAGTGCCACTGATGTGCTGTGTCGTGGGTCGCACGGTGCCATCCCATTCCCCATATTTATGGAGCTCTAAAGATTAAGCCCAAGTCGCGAGCTGTCCTGTCACGCTGTCTGAAAAGAACAGGGTGGCGCCGGGAGCATGGATCAAGACAATGTCGAGGTCCTGATGTGGTTCTCCGTCTCGGAGGTGCTCAGTAGCAGTCGTGACCGAGATATGTCAGCAAGAAGTCAGCTGACTTTGTGAACTGAAATATTTGTGACAACTTCAAACTCGTTTCTCACACAAATCTTGTCATAATCCATTCTTAGGTATAAATTCTGGCAACCATAGCTTCCTCATTTTTTACCATTTTCTGTAGGCTGCATATTTATAAAATGATCTTCCGAGTTTCCTCAGCTGGCCAAAGCCAAATGCAAGCAGAACTTTAGCTGACCCAAAGAGCTAGCCAGAGGTGACTGTAAACAAACCGTCGGCTGTCAGGATCATGCAACATAGGTGCCACCATGATTCATTAATACTGGTATATAGACATGAGAGGTCAGAAATTTGATATAGGTTAAAACTTCAAATTAAATGTATATATATATATATATATATATGTGTGTGTATGTATATGTATATGTATGTATATATATATATATATATATATATATATATATATGTATATATATATATATGTATATATATATATATATATGTGTGTGTGTGTGTGTGTGTGTGTGTGTGTGTGTGTGTGTGTGTGGTGTGTGTGTGTGTGTGTGTGTGTGTGTGTGTGTGTGTGTGCGTGCGTGTGCGTGTGCGTGTGCGTGTGCGTGTGCGTGTGTTTATGCATGGATATGTGTAGACCCTGTAGGCAAGTTATTCTGAAAGTGGCGATCTAAAAAACGACAGCTGACCAGTCATCCCGTAGGGCCCGTGTTGTGGCCTCGGTTCCACTTAACCGAGTGTTTCTTTTGCCTTTGAAAAAAATTACTTCGACCACCGTAATCAATGCGCATTTCCGTGCAGTTGGCTCCTGTGTGCTCCTTCCTGCGACTTCCGATAAAAGAGATAATCTGTTTCCCTGCCAGGTTAAGATAACTCACTTTTTGATCTATATTTAATTAAGGCGCTGTTGCGCCGATTGGACGCATCCGTGTGCGCCGTCTATGTCGCACAGGGCCGACGGTGCCGCAGGGCCCGCCGTCGTCAAGCCCGGGCTGACTGCGACCTCCCGCGCTATAAAACCCTGAGTAAGCAGATGAGCGCCGCTATCAGACGTGACTGCGGAGATGATTGCGGGCATCGGATAGCTAAGGCTGGCCGTTCTGGCATGTGGGGATGCCTTTATCCCATCACAGGCAGCATGAAGTAGGGTGCTGCTTTTCCCAATGCGAGCCCGGACGCCTGAAACCGCCATTTTGTGGGAGTGAAGGCGTCCAGGGCAACGAGCGTCCCACGGACATCACAGGATGTACCGGTCAGACTGCCACGAGCTGCTAGCTGCTCGTTGCGTGTGTCCCTGGTTGGTTGGTTATCTCTGGTACATCGTGTCATTTATGAAATTATCAAAATCCACTTATGATGACGGCGTTAGCGTTCAGCTGTTCCAGAAGTGTTTCAGTGACGTTGGGCATGTCCTGTTGGACGTGTCCATGCCCTGTTGAACGTGTCCAGTCTCGTGACTGGACACGTTCCTCAGTAGTGAACTAGCTTCCTTTAACTAAGGACAGAAGACGCATCCCTTCGGGAAGGCGCTGTCCCTGATGCCAAGACCGTACGGTGACCGTGGGCTTCTTTGTGGAGCGGGGTGGGGTCTAGCAGCAGATGGGGCAAGCTGTACATTCCACAATACTCGCACTGCCCACTTTTCCCTGCATGGCCGTGCTGAATAAGAGTTAACCGTATCGCAGTGTATTGGACGGCCGTCATCAAGTTATTTCGAGAAGAACTGCGAGCTTGGAAAGTCACATAAAAATGCAGGCAAGTGGAAAATATTGCGCTTTTAGCCGCGCTCTGTGCCGGCCAGTGGATTCCTGTTAGGAAACAGAGCATTACATTCAGCAAGGCTCTGCTCAAGATTGCTAGGATTCTAATAGCATATGGTACTAGGTATTGTTCACGTCAAGGCGAGGACGAGTTCATATAGCGCGGCCGATGACTGGCTGCCTGTGTCGCGCGGTTTTGTGGACGCTGGTGTCGTGGCATCCCAGCAGACGCGGCGCAGGGCGGCTGCGGGATTTCAGGTCGGTGGTGGCAGTGCGTGGTGATTGTTGGGCGTTGCCCCGGCCTCCGCTGTCTCTGTCTGGTCTGCTGTTCCACGCGGCTGTCGCGTCCCGCATCGCAGAAGCGCTAGTCCGGCAAGGCCGCTGTTGCAGTGACAAGGTCATTGAGCGACTTGATAGCCACAAGTGGCGGGGCTATCAGTTGACGCATCAATCAGACCCTTTCGAGCGGCTAGTTGAGCCTGAGTGCCCACATCTGAGCTTGAACCCGCTGAATCTCCTAGATTTGTTACCCTTGAAATCTGACTGATTCTCGAGGATACCAATCGTACCACAACATGCTCAAAGGAGCAGGGGTCATGTTTTGTGGAAAGTATCTCGAGAAATTAATTATCTTAAAGTTAGGTTGTATGCAATCTCTGATTTTATGTTGTAAATCAAGCTGAAATATAATGTATGTGTCCCTGTCGGAATCAATATATATGCTGAGTGAACACTGAGCGTTCGCAAGTGTTTATTTGTGCGCTTTTTCAAAGCCTCAGTCTAAAGAGCGTTAGTAACGGTGCTTTTGCATACTGTTAGTCCACATCTTCCAAATGTCAGTTATGACAAAAATCCACTCAGGGAAATATATTTTCGGAATCTACATTATTGGTAGGCAGGCGAGTTCAGGCTATGCGACAGTACTCGAGTGCGCGGGTGTGCCATACTGAGAAAGGCGACGGTGATAGCGACATCGCTGATTGGATGCACTGTGATGCGCGTTATGATCCATTTATATTTCAAAACTCTTGCGTGTAAAAGTGCGCAAGCGGGAACCATTTTTGTGGAGGCGATACGGCCCGAGCGCGTTCAAATAGCTCGGTGCCTCTTAACGCCAGCTGTGATGTCACGATTTATATGACTGATGTCAACTGAACGCTTCCTTGCTGACGCTGATCACGACTGTCCATGGTGATATCAGGTATCTGATGGAGAAGCACGTCTGCCTTCCCCCGCGAGATGGCTGGGGCTGGGGGACAGAAAAACCCCATTTCTGCTATGTGATGTGAAGTTTTGCGGCTTACATTCCGATTCGAATTTATACTCGAGAATTTCATTGGCGTTCGGGTGCTCGGGAATCTACAATAACGGTATATCTCTGGCAGCCTCGAGATGTTCAGAAAACGGCTACCTGGAACCAAACTTGGTGGTTCTGGCTGCAGCTTCATATCTATATACGAGACAATTGCCAAATTTCGCATAACGCTCGTAAGGCCACAGCCACGTGCACATACGAGCGCAAATGTATGGCAGTACGATTACCTACTGCTGTCTCAGTCGCATTGTTTTGGTTCCGTTTTGCTACGCCCCTGGCTGCCAAAAGCCCGTTAACTCGCCTGTGTAGCTGTACTTGCCTCACGGAGGAGCCTCTATTGTGTAGTTGCACGTGCCTCACGGAGGATCTTCGCCTTTGTAGTTGTACGTGCCTAACGGAGGGCCTTCGCCTGTGTAGTTGTACGTGCCTCACGGAGGACCCTCGGCAGAAACATGTGACTGCACAGCTGATTCACAGTCGGCGGCGGGCCTCCGGACCGGCGCGGCTTCATGCACCGGCGAAATCTGCGGAGTGTCAGCGGTTTACATGTTAGGAAATCGCGGCCAAAGTTCTGCGAAACACAAATACTCTGTGGGTGGATAGTGGTCAGCATAAATTGGGTTTTACGCCGTCATTTGGGTCTCCACCTCGCTCTGTTTAGGCGACAGCGTGATGTATTCAAGATCGGTCTCGAAAAACGTTACATCGTTAGCCTGCCGATCGATTGCTGACGCCGCTGAGGATCGGACAGCGCTGCTGTGCAGGAGTCATTCGCAGACGGTGTGCACGCCTGCATCGTGCAGCTGGTTATCACTGGGTTATCTGCTGAGATTGTCGAGGTCTGGAATCAATTCCGACAGACGTCTAAAAAAGTGCCTGGTTGGTGCGCTCGCATGACCGCACGCGCGACACCGCATGCGTTGGCCGACGCTTTCGCCAGTGCGATTGCCCGTGTTTTTTTCCGAGTGTAAATGCGCTGATATCGTCTCGCTGTGGCGCATAGTAACGAAGAGATTAGCTCCATTTTTTCCGGCAGTCGGCGTTTTTTGGCGAGTAAAAAATTTACCGTCTCCCGCGTAAAGCCAATGGAGCCCGTTTGTGCGTACCATACACGGCACGTCATGGTAAGCGGCGTCACATCGTACCAAAATGCATTGCATCACAAGTCCTCGAGGTCATTGATCGTTCGGAACTGCAAAAACACTCAATATTCACTGTAGACTTCAAAACCGTCGTATCCCCGGTGGATTTAAACTTTTTTATACAGTACGTTGCATTCTGATGATGCCGGGGCCAAAACAATGCAGAATTATTGTAACGCAACACGATGACTTTCAGCAAAAGTAATGGCGTATGTATTGGGAGAGTTAGATGCAGCTGTCTACGACTTTGATTTAACATTAGTCTTTGGTAGGCCTTATGCCCGTGAGAAAATACTACGACAGATATGAGTGTTAAGCGATGACACAGACCTATGCCGTGTCCCTTTTTATCACGAGAGGACAGCTTGTGCCGGACCTCAAGCCATTATCAGACCTCTTGAAATAATGTACCACAGCTGCTCCGCCCAGTACTGTACTCCTGTATCGTCCTGCCGACCTTGCGTGGACGGTTGCCGGCCGCAGGTCCGCTTTGGTCGTGTGCTGAAGGGGAATGACAGCACCGTGCCGTATCTCTTGCAGCTCTGCCACGCTCGGCGAGCCAAGCAGGAGCGCCTACACGCCCAGCTGAGGGAGCTCGACATGTCGTGGGCCTCCTGAGCCAAGCAGGAGTGCCTGCACGCCCATCTGAGGGAGCTCGACATGTGGGCCTCCTGAGCCAAGGAGCAGCGCCTGCACGCCCAGCTGAGGGAGCTCGACATGTCGTGGGCCTCCTGAGCCAGGCAGGAGTGCCTGCACGCTCAGCTGAGGGAGCTCGACATGTCGTGCGCCTCCTGAGCCAAGGAGCAGCGCCTGCACGCCCAGCTGAGGGAGCTCGACATGTCGTAGGCCTCCTGAGCCAGGCAGGAGTGCCTGCACGCCCAGCTGAGGGAGCTCGACATGTCGTGGGCCTCCTGAGCCAAGGAGCAGCGCCTGCACGCCCATCTGAGGGAGCTCGACATGTCGTGAGCCTCCTGAGCCAAGGAGCAGCACCTGCACGCCCAGCTGAGGGAGCTCGACATGTCGTGGGCCTCCTGAGCCTGGCAGGAGCACCTGCACGCCCAGCTGAGGGAGCCCGACATGTGGGTCTCCTGAGCGCCCCGCTGCGCCGGCCCGCCTCAGCGGCGCTGTCGAGCGGGCTGCCGACCGTGTCAGGGAGACGTTCTGAATCTCTGCCCCAGCACCGCCCTGCGTGACGTGACGTGACGTGACGTGGCGTGACGTGACGTGGTCGAGACTCGCTCCCATTTGGTGCCGTGCGTGTGTGCGAGTGTGTGGGTCGACTCTCCCGCTGCGCTATCCGTGCAGGCCCGAGTGTCCAGTGGCGGTGGCTGGCTCAGTGGACGGCATTTGGGCTGTTCGCACGTCCTGACTCAGCGGTAGCCCGATCTGATTGGACGAGACGTGGTTTTGCGCGGGGCGTGACCGTATGTTTGATCAGTGGCCACTGTGAACGGAAACCGGAGGGATGTGGTGTCGGCGCTGTGCCGCGCCTTGTGTCGAGACGTATCTGATGAAGTCATATCCGGGACCGGCGTGGGGCGCTGCCCCTGATGAGGCTCCACTGTTCCGTGTTTTCTTCAGCGCTTATGTTAGGAATGTGGTTTTCATCCATGTACCAATATTGTATGACCTCGATTACATAATTTATATGCATTGCTGGTATGTGCGACAGCTCAGGCCTGCTAGGGGATTGGATGCACGAGTCGGTGTTCACATATTATGAACGGATAAAATAAAAGGCTCTAACATGTTGCCGTTGCTGGATCGCTCACCTTTACGGTCTGGGATGGGTTTTAGTTGTTTATTATTGCGCGAATGTCTTCCAATGCGCAGTTACTGCGTAGTTTATGCAGTCTGCAACACGCATTCATTCTAAGAAGCCACGACGCCTGAGGCCTTTGGGGAAACCAGAGCCACCAGAGGCATAGGATTTGATTTCCTGGAGATCTTTGTCGCCTGCCCCTCTTGTCAGAATGAGAGACAGGCGACGCCACATAGCCTCAGCTGCTAGGTGCATCGTAAAACATCTATGAGGACACCGCGTTTCAGGAAAAAAGCCAAGCGCATTACAAGGTGCGAAAATTCAGTCCAATCTAGATGCGAAAGTAACCGCCATGATATACGAATGGTGGGTTCAGTAAACCCTGATATGCATGCAAATGGCCCACGTCCACTTTTTCCAGAGACTGATGGATCCCTCCATCGATATTTGGGAGAAGATATGACAAAACGAGTTAATGTTGCACAACACGACTCGGCAGACTACCCACTGTCAGCTTACGTACAACAAACCAGCAGAAAGCTAGACTCGTAGGCTGCTGACCTTGCAGTGAGTGGTGCGTCATTGGGGCTTTACGATGCTACTGAGGTTTATGATGACGCCTGCCTCTCATCCTGCCGGATTGGTCGGGTACCGCGGCGAGTCAGACGTCACAGCGAATATTTCAACGCGCTTACTTGCACACGATGAGGGGTGACAGCACGGAACACATTTCCAAGAATCCCCCTTATGCGCCGGGTCAGCCGATTGAGTATCTTTCGCTTGGTGGGGAGGGGTGATCTGACCCCCTGAGGTCCCAAAAACTAAGGGCTAGAGACACTGAATTTACAGTGTGTGTAAACCTGTATGCGAACACACTTGTGTAAAAATTTAAAGTTCCTGGGTCATGATCTTTGCGCCAAATATTGTCAAACAAGGCCAAACCCCAGACTGGTGTCTATCCAAAGTGCCTCCAGACCTTCCCATGCAACCGCCGTGAACGTAGATACTTGCTCTAAAGCAAAAGGTTGCTGGTGCTCATTTTAGGTTAGTGACCTTGTTTGGCCTTAGCAAGTCATGGTCGCCAAAAGTATACACGACTGCTTCGATTTTTTGCATTTGAAAAGCATCAAAGATCGCGCAAGGTGGTATGTCTAGAAAAATGATGTTGACGTGAGCCATTTTTGTTTAGTGACCTATTTAACCTGTAAAATGTCCATTGAAGATGCATAATGGGCTTGTTGTTACTAATAAATTCAAACTGAGCACCAGAGGCTGTCTCATACAGCAAGCCCTCGGGGGAAAACGGGTTTAACCTTGGTCTGACCGTCATACCTGACCCTAGGTCAAATAAATTTATTAATTCGATGGTTGTGGGGCCTAAGAAAATACCTTAGAGATGTGTAGCCTTGTCTTACACTCCGTTGTTGCATCGATTGAACGACTTCCAAGAAATCGCCTTCGTTAAATTCATGGCCTGGCTTTGAACTGCCTTAGGTCCGCAACCTTATAAGGTGCATCTAAAATTTTAATATCAAAAGATTCGCTATTCGACTGTCTACAGCTATGCAAAACTTGCAGCGATTCGGAAATTCCTTTTTTAAATCCTTCGGGGTCCAATTGCCCCCCGCCCCCCCCCCCCCCCCACTTCAGCGCGTGTTAATACGGGGTTCTCGGTCTACAGCAAACGCCCTCCCTTTCCGCAAACAGGGGTTCGTGTGCCAGAAAGGACCTTACGGACACATAGAGGGACCTCTCGATCCAGGCCGGGAACCCTCCTTTTCACAAAGGGGCCTAAAAAAGTCCAGCGAACGGCCTGGTCATCCCACAACAGCATTCCGATGCGGAGCTGCGGCTGTCTTAAATCTGGAATACAAGGCCCGCAGCCGGGCGGGTGTACTGGGTGCCCGTGCATCCCCTGCGATCTGGGCTGCGTCCCCGGGCCTCGTTCCGTGTAACCCCTGTACTGTAAAGAATAAGTATAATACATATAATACATATAACTATATATATGTATACACACACATATATATGTATATATATATATATGTATATATACATATATGTATATATGCATATAGCGCTTATATACATATATATGTGCATATATATACATATATATACATATATATATATATATATATATATATATATATATATATATATATATATTTATATATATCATACAGGTTCAAAACGAACGCTTGAAGCGCACGAAACTCTCGGTACTTGCTCATTTATCAATTTGACATTCATCTGGTACCATATGGCCACAGCGCACATGACCTTGGCCCAGGCCATGACCTATCTCTATGGGTATCGTCTGGAAAACACATCCTAAGCTCAAAACAGGCAGTTTTATCAGGTAATTTTGGACGCGGAACTCGAATACTCCATCGAAACCATGTGATATCATTTTAATGGATGATGAGGTCACAACATGTCATGAGATAATATTCAAAGTCATACGAGGTCATCCCAGGTTAATGGCCTATGTTGCCAGCAGCAGAGAGGTAGAAGAGGGAGTGCGAAGCTTGTAACTATCTTTTTATCGTGTTTGGGAAGCTTATGACGTGTAATTTCATGTACCGGCGTACCTGCTATCATTTTGTTACACATACATTGCCAGACGTCGAAGGGACTATGTATAACGTTAACAACGGCTATGCAATCATGAGTACCTGTAGATGTACAATATACTATTTTTGACCACAGAAAAGCATTGCACCGGTCACATAGACCCGGTTAGCACTTATAAATTCTTGCAGTTGGGCATTTTATAAATTTGAAGAAAGCTGACCTCAGATGACCTCTTGGTCACCTTAAAATTACATTTTTGTATCTGCAACGCTTTTGTCTCACAGCAGCAGCTAGTAAAATAAACTTAACCAAAAGCGCACTGTGAAGAAAAGCATCGTCCCTATAGGCCATTGGTGGACCTATTTTGCACGATAACCTGTTCTGACCTGACTGCAAGGACAGAAATGGTCGGAATGGACTCCTACAGTCTTAACGCTTACTTGCATGCCTTCAAAATCCATCTTTAGGTGCTAACAAATGTTTTAAATGCATTTGTCGGAACGACCGTTTTCACCTTTCGTGACCTATGGTAACCTCAGATTTGACCTGAGATGAAACAATTTGCGTACATTATTTATGAATTGACGAGATCTTCAAAATGATATCTTTGCTTTGAAAGATACCATTTACAATCTTAAAAGACGCGAGCGATAAAGTACTGGATTCGGAAGGTAGCGTATTACAAAGCTTACGATACTATACAGGAGGTGTCGTCTACTCGCCTCCATCCTCACACGCGGCGTCTAATATTTAACACGGCGTTTGGAAGTTGGAGATCCCAGAGGAGATCCACTTCTCCCTGTGCTAGATATATTTTTTTATGATGCATGGCTCCGTTAATTTGCTGATGCCTCCCGGCCGCGGGCAGTCAACGAAAACTTCGGCTTCCGCCCGTCGCTCGCACCGGCCGTAGACCACCGTGCAAAGTTCCTCAAAAACTGCCGCGGCTCCAGAACTAGAATGGCTAGGGCAGCGTTTTAGGTGTCAAGACACGAGCAATGCGTGCAAAAGATCTTGAACTTTGCGCTGGCGTTGCCAGCGGCCGTTGCATATTCATCATATCTCGGACGTGCGTGCGGAACTGGGCTGGCCTGCTGCCAGTCAGCTCCACCAACAGCACTCCATAAGCCTGCTTCACGGAGTACGTGTTACCGGCGAACAGCAAGCCCTTGCCTCCCAGATGTAGGCCAGCCCTTCTCTTTGCCCTCACTCTATGCGTCAGGACACTGGTTTAGCTGTCCCGCGCGTGAGGTGGGAGGCGATTAGGCGGGGCCTCCTGTATAGTATCGTAAGTTTTATAGTACTTTACCTTCCGAATTCCGTACTTTATCACTCGCGTCTTTTAACATTATTGCAACGAGTGTCCTTTTGAACAAGTCTCACCTCTTAAACCTTATCACGGCTCGACTCCGCACTCAGAATAGCCCTTTTATGTTTTATGTGCTTTAAACATTGACACAAATATACTTGCCGAGGCCCTTCATTGTTTCAGGGACCCCGACACTGCAGATCGCAGGCCTCGACCTGGCTCGTATTTGGGAAATGGGTCCCCTGGGCTCAGACCGGCACGGAGCTCACTGTTTGGTGCTGGGGGTCTCTAGCCAAAACAGAGGCCCGCACTGTTCCAGGGGTTTCCAATCGATGTAAGATCTGATCTGACAATCTGACTGAGATTTAAGGTCACATCTCAACGGACGGGCCCCTGCCTTAGTATGTGCCCCTCTTTAGTATGACCTATATCTAGTCCTTCAGGCTCCTCGCACACTTCATTCAACCTTTTAATCGGGTCCTTAATCTTTGTTCCTGAGAGGCCCATTGGGTCACTCTTCAGGCCTCCAGCCGACAATGGCGCAGGCGGGGCCCCTGGCCGAGTCGGGGCTACCTGCCGACACAGGACCCCTGGTAGTCATTGTGGACCCGTGACAGACGCAGGTGCCCGACCACTGTAGATCGCTGGCCCGGGCTTTGTCCCCGCTTGGGAAATGGCCGCTCAGCCCCAAACCAACATGGAGCCAACTGCCCGGTATTGGTGGTGCCTTACTGACACGTAGGCCCTTATCGACCCAGGAGGCCCCGATAGGTGCAAAGAGCCCTCTGGCTGACATTTAGGGGGGCCTGACTGCGACCTCCAGCTGGCCTTTGGGAGTCTTCGGGCCCTCCAATCGGGCCTTTAATCGTCTAAGGGGGAGATATTTGCCCCCTGTGCCTCCCTCGCCTGCGACACTGACATAAGCATGTGAAGCTGAAAATATTGATGGGAAATTTACACCAGCGACCTGGCGTAATGGCATCAGATGCGGACTCAGCAGCACAAATCTTTTACCAATTGCGAGATCTAGATGAGGTCAATACAATGGTACTTTTTTTGCTAGGCTCTATCATTCCTAGTTCAAAAAAGAAAACGGCAACGGAG